TGAATTTTATTATATTTTTAATGTGATATTAATTGTATCATTAATTAAATTTTAATTTTAATTTTAATAAATTTTATTTAATATAAAATTTTTATAAAATTATTTTTTAATTATAATTATAATAATTTTTTAATCACAATCATAATAATTTTAATTATTATATTTTATTTTATCATCTATCAAATAGATCCTACTATTATAATAATTTAGAACTATTGATAGAAGGCATAAAACTATATATCATGGATGGAAGCAAAGCTTTTGTTATTAAGTTATTATTAATTTAAATTATATACATTAATTATGTTTTAAAAAATTATGTTCGAGAGATCAAAAACAAGTTTTTTTATTTTTAATTTCTCGAGTTAATAACCTTGTAACCTTGTGATACTCATGGTAAAAATGAGTAATGTTACTACAATAATTGAATGGTGGGAAGAATAAAGAAATAGGTATTGTCCTTACTAATAATAATAATAATTAATTACCTTTGAAAGCCATGGCTTTAAAGACATTGAATGTCAGGAGATCATGTCCTTGAAAATCATAGTCAATAAAGGTGGAACTAAGAGTCAATCCTATATGTGTTGTTTTATTGTCTTTCTTTTATTTATTTATTTATTTGGATAATTTTTTTTTGTTGTAAACGAGGGTTAGTGCCCTTACAAAGGATGGTGAGATGAAGGATGGTGGAGTAGAACTCACGTCTTACATGACTTTCAATTGATTTTTTAATCATTTAAAAAAAATAAATTGGATAAATTTCATTTTTGAATTGAAAGAGAAGTAGAAAGAACAACTCTATTACTCTAAAAATCTCAATCAATCCTCTCTGATAAAATTATTATAGATTGAAAAACAAGAGCATCTTTATTAAGGAGGCACAATTGGGAACTATTTTGACAAGAACAAAAATCTAAACTCATAAGACGAGAGGTCAGTTAACAACAAAATTTGAAATTTATCTGATATTTATTTTTTGACGATTAAATCAGTACTCAAAAAAAAAATAAAAAAGAGAAAAAATCAAAAGTAAATATAAAGGTTGAAATGCTTATACTTGAGAGAATAAAATTATTTATATTTGTATAGTAAAAGTGTCAAGTTTAAGAGATTCAAGCTTCATATGACAGGATTAGGATTAATGTTGTTAATCTATGCTAAGTTGACAACAAGTTACCTAACTAAAAAATGATAAATTAATATTTTCATATAATATCATGTGATAAATTAAAATGATCAAATTGACATAAAATTTAAATTCTCAAGTCAAGTTAATATGTCAACTTCGATTAAATTGATATAATAATTTTCATGTGATCGATAATTTATACTTTAAGATAAAATATCTATTATACTATTTGAACCACAAAATACCTCTAACAGTTTACATATCCTTTCGAATAAAGTTGAAGCAGGCTCTATCCCTTAAGCCACACCCCAGCCGACCAATTCGGTCCTCGATCGTGCCTCTTATTCTCTAGTCCTTAGCTCCCACCCTGCCATTGCATTAATCTATTGGATAAACGACCTTTGCAACTGATTTGATGCAACTAAACTAAACAATCAACAAAACAAAAATCTTTGCTTTTGATGTTCCTCAAGTCCCTTCAAATTTTTTTCTGACAGCTCCACCTCACCTGGTTCATATCAATATTTCTTTTTCATGACATGAAAAGGACAGAGGCAAAGTGGTCGTGTCCTTCTTGTCCCCACTCGACTGCTCCCGGAAATACTAGTCAAGAGCTAGTCATGGCGCAGGCCTAAACAAAGATTAAGTCTCAATGATAAAAAGACAACGGAAACAGTCAGATATTATTTGTCAAAATGTTAGTCTAGTCATTGTTCAGTTCTTCAGTTCCTCTCTCTTTTTATCTTTGTAATTTCTTTATTTATATATATAACCCAAAAACTAAAAAACAAAAAACTTAATTACTTCTGCTATAGTGTATCAATTTTTTGCAATTAATATATATAAGGTTTGAGTGAAAGATGAATTCTTTCAAAACTCAAAATGTATTGGGACTCAAGGATTACTATATACATTCTATCCGTTCGATGGAAAAAATTATTCGAATTTAGCTTTTTGAATAAAAATATATATTTCTAATTGTAAATGTTCGAGTGTTATTTTATTATAATAATAATAATTTTTTAATTAAAAATACATACTATGGTTTAGGTAATGGATTATTGACCTATTTTATTACTCCTAATTATAAATGACAACGGGTCAGATCGAGTCGAGGCAAGACGAGTTTTTGCTCGCTCTGAACTTGACCCGATTTCATAATAAAAAATTCGTGTTAGACCCGATATAATATTATATAAATAATATCTGATCTGATCTGAAATTAATAAAATATTATTTTTAAAAAATATAAAAATATTATTTTTTAAAATATAAATATATAGTTATATAATTATATATAAATAAAAAATTTAAAAATAATTTAAAATAATAATTTTTAATATAATATCATATCGGATCGAATTTACCTAAAAATCAAACCCAATCCGAACTTGACTTTTTTTTAATAACACCCGACCCGACCCGATCCGATCTGAAATTTAATTTTTTTTTAAATCAATCCTATGTGATCGAGTCAAATCAAAATCTGCCAAATTTGAATTGATCAACCCTACTCTTAATAGTACTATTACTATTATCTTTGTGAGGACTTTTTGACAATCTCTAAAATTGACACAAGAATATGAGGCATTGTGGTGAATTTGACAACTTTAAGAAATGAATAAAGATCGTAACTTTTCGCTCAAAATTACTAAAAGTATGCTAATTTTGGTATAGTAAACAAAATGCAAGGGTGTTTAACAATTAATAAATTAGTAACTCGTTGATTATTTATTGAATCAATTAATATAATATTGAAGTTGATATTTGAAAATTATAAATTTAATAAAATTTATGTACTTAATATTTTTTTCAACCAGATAAATAATAAGGTAACGAGGATTTAAGAGTATATTATAAATTAAAAAAATAGTTACATTCATTTTTTTACTTCAAATTTTTAAGTTTTGAATAATACTTATCATAAAAAATAAAAATTTAATACTTTAATAATATAATATACTGTTGTTGATAAATTCACTTCCTTAGATACTATAAATTTTTTATTTTTAATATATTTTTAAAAATATGTATCATTTTATTAATCTTACTTATAGAATTTAAAAATTATATTAACATTAGATGAAATAAATTTTCATACAATAATATCGATTTGCACATTCCGATATACAAAGCTATTCCACCTCGTTCCTTTGTTTTTTAGTTACAAAATTATCATCCAATCCTCTCTTTTTGTATTATAAAAATAAAATATAAGTACTACAAACATTATCTAATCAGAAATTAGAAACCTTCACATGGAAATGCACTTTAATAATCACTTCCCTCGAAGGGTTTTAAATTTTAATTAGTTGATGTACAAGACGTCAACAATGACGACATATATGACGTCATAACATTTGTACGACAACCTAATATTCTTTAACAATTTAAGATTAGTAAGAGATTTGAGGTTATTATTCACTGTTCATTTTGTCTCTTTTTTTTTTTTTATAACATTGTCTCTAATTGTCTCGTGAGTAATCCTTTTAATTTAAAATATTTTACGATAGTACGATATAAAATAAGATATAAAAATAATATAATTTAAAATTATAATAATTATTATATATGAATTTAATAGAATAAAAAAAATTTATATTTTATATTTATATATATAATTTTTATATAAAATATAATATAAAAATATAATATATAAATATTTTATATTAAAGAAATACATAATTCACCGAACCTACTCAAACCAAGAATGAGCTATGTTTAAAAGGCATGGGTATGGCCTAAGCCGAAAGGAGAGTATGGCTTGGCTAATGTAGCAGACATGGAAAGTGGTGAAACGCCACCTAGTTGGACAACAATGGTGACTTGGATGTGAAAAACCAGAGGCCGACTGTACCTTATTGTTTACTGCTTCGAGGTGGTCAGGTTTGGGATCCCACAACCCTTTATATTTTACCATGTGTTGGTTCCTTGCCCACCACCATAATCACCCCTGGCCTTTTGTCTTAATTACCTAATTAGGAAAGCCTTATCCAAAAACTAATTACATCCGGGGGACCACAATAAATTTGGAGTTAGAAACTCTAGAATTTTACTAGAAAGAAGTTGAATTAATTGATAATAATTTTTTTAATATAAAAATTTTATATTCGAATTTAATTGATGATTTTTTATTAAAATTTTCTTAAATATATAATTTATAATTATTATTTTTAATTATAAAATATGATATATTTTATTTTAATTTAAAAGATTGAATAATTTTTATATTCAAATTTTATTTAAAAAAATGACTATAGAATTTCAAGGAATGAAAAATGGGATTAGAAATTTCATTGTAATAATTGAAAACTTTTCATTTTATCTTAATTTTGCTTCACCATGCATCATTTAGCATGTAAGATGAGGAAAAGATCTTCTTGTCACCTCGTAATTTTAAAAAAAAAATCATAATTAAAAAAATTATAAATATTAAAATTTTAATTTTAATTTATTAAATGTTATTTAAAAAAATAATTATATAAATTAACTAAATTAAGATATATATTTTTTTACCATCTTTTAATTGGTATGTCTATTATGCACATTTTGGGATTTTGTTACAAATTCCATCCACCGGTTAGGCTGAAAAGTAACTACCAAAATATTTGCAAAACTTTGGCCTAACATATATATATATATATATATATATTATATTATATTATCCACTTGGTCATGTCCTAGCTAGCTAGTTCAATCGTAAAAATTTGGATGTGACACTTGTTTTTGTCTTGCATTTAATACACCACATTGTAACACATGGAGGGCATTTTTGTTATTGACAAGGCAATGAAGCCCAATCTTTGATAGGGTCTTAAGGTAACAAACAACTGCTTAAGTCCTACTCAAGCCTATAAATAAAGAACGTTACTCGAAGCCATTACTAAATTTAAGGTCAGAGAACAAAGAAAGAGAAAGAAAAAGAGATAGAAAGTGAGTGAAAGTTATCAAAGGATGAAAACCAGAGTGATTGAGCCTGAAGATCAAATGGCTCTTATCCCCCAAATGTATCCTGGTTTATACACTCCAATTGCACCACAGCAAGGTAACTTGTGTGTTAAAAGCTTAAGACAAAATTAAGCTATTCCTATTTCCATGTTCAATCTTGGTTGCTTAACCCAAGCTTTTTGATGATATGATGATGAGCAGGGGAATCAAAGCGTCGACGGCGGCGGAAGAAGAACAAGGGAGGGGAAAGCAGCCTGTCAGGGGCTAAAAAAAGGAAGCTCAGCCAGGAACAAGTTAATCTTCTTGAACTTAATTTTGGTAATGAACATAAACTTGAGTCTGAAAGGAAAGACCGCCTTGCTTCCGAGCTGGGTCTTGATCCTCGTCAGGTAGCTGTTTGGTTCCAAAACCGAAGAGCTCGTTGGAAGAACAAGAAGCTGGAGGAAGAGTATAGCAAGTTGAAGTCGGTCCATGAAGGTGTTGTTCTTGAGAAATGCCGCCTTGAATCCGAGGTATATATATCTCTCTCTCTTTTAGTTTCCAGGAAAAGCTAAAATCATTTGAACTCCACATTTTACAAAGAAAAACAATTCATAGCTGTTGGATTTTTTTTTTCCTGGTTTCTCAGGAACCAAACAGAAGCTAATGATACTGTCAGGCTGTTTTCTACTTTTCTTCTACACATTTTTTTTCTCAGGTTCTCACGTGGTGGACAAACACTTTTTTTTTTTTTAATTTTATTTTATTAAAAAAAAGGGTGGTGGGAGCTTACTTCCGTAATTTATGAACATTTTCAAGGATTAATTAATTGAAAAAAAAAATACTAATTATGAGAGTTGTTCGAAGGAAATGAAGCTAATGAAGCAAGCAAGTGCCTATCTCTTTATCCTTTAGAAAAAAGACAAGGTGACCCACACCATAATAGAACGTGCATTAGCTCTGGGCTCGAAGAAAGCCATGCCATGTTGTTGGGTTAGGCCAGTAGAAAAAATTTAAAGAATATTGGACAAAAACTAGCAAACATTTTGACAAGGAATAGCCGACTGCCACTTCAGTAAACAACAAAAAGTACACACAAGGTTTCAACCAAACATGGGTCCGTACGGTCTTGTTTAAGGTATATGAGGTTGGGCTTGGCCAAGGCCCACTTGGGGAACACCAAAATTCACTTCTTAAACCGCTCACTGTGTACTGCAAATACTTTTCCTACAACTCATCAATGAAATGTATGTCGAATATCATTTCAGGTTCTAAAGCTTAAAGAGCAACTTTGTGAGGCAGAGAAGGAAACCCAACGGCAGGCAGAACGAGGGGATGGGGTTTCGAGTAATAGTCCAAGCTCATCTCTGTCAATGGAAGCCATTGATCCACCTTTCCTGGGGGAACTTGGAGCAGATCAAGGATATGAAGATGTTTTCTACATATCAGAAAACAGTTACATTCTTGGCCTGGAGTGGATGAATCTGTATATGTAAATTAAGTAGGGAGTGCATTTTTAGTGTGTGTAGATAATTATGCCATCCAATGTAAATTAATCCTTAATTTTCTTTCTTAAGTAGTGTTTTAATTTTCATCCGAATATAATTTAAAAATGTATTATTAACCGTCCATTTGAATGGAATGTAAAATTAGTTTTAGAAGAGACATTCATTCATCTCATCCATGAAATTCAGAACAACAATTTTTCCTTCCAAAAATACCAGCCAATTTCCCGATCGACTCAAAATTTTAACACCAAAATGAAGAGCAGATAAAATGTAACTTTTATAGCAAGATTATGACAATGACAAGGATTATGATAATGGTTTGTTTGTTGGTAAAAGGAAAGAAAAAAAGATATTGGAAAGTGGCATGGAATCTTTACAGTGAAGCACAAAATGAAAAGATACTTGATAAAGATCGATGATGATCTTTGACTCACTCTTAGAGGATCGATCCAACTTTGTCCATGCACCAAGGAGAGTGACAACAAGAGTTGTTCTCATTGAGGAATATATGGGACTTGATTAAGGTTGTCTGGGCGATGCGGACCGTTGCGTGACACACCAGGATTTTGCACCTTAAGGTTGCTGGTCAAGCCAACGATGGCCACGGAAACCAAAGCTGTTCTATAGTACATTAAGGGCATATTTAGTGTATAAAATGATAAATAAGATAGAATAATAATAATTATATATTATATTTGATTTATATTTAAAAAATACATGATTATAAAAAAAATTAATTATTCTCTCAATATAGAATGACAATAGAATGATTTTAATCATTTCATAATGAAAATGATTATTTTTAATCTATGAAATTAAATTTATATATTTTATTATATCTTTAAAAATTATATTAATAATTTAAATTATAAAAATTAAAAAATAATAATTTAAATCAATAAATAAATTATCTTATAATAATTTTTATACGCATCAAATACAAAATAAAATAATATTATTAATCTAATCATGTTTTAATATTATATTATATTATTTTATAATAAATTTATATACCAAACATATATTCAAAGGACCTGAGAATGCCAAGCACGCTGTTGGCTTTGTTTTTGTCAAACAAACAATTGTTACGTCCAAAAAAATCCACCTTATGATGTAAAACGGCACCGTTTAAATAAATTTCTTCTAACTGTTTTTGTTGGTTTTCTTTGCTTCATGTATACCATAATGTTACATCCCCAATTTGTAGTACTATTGCTAAAATAGTTTTGAAGGATTCAAATTCTTTTAAACATCGCAGAAGGATTTATAAAATAATAAAATTAAACCAAAAAGCAAAACAGAAAATAATTAGCCTTTGGGCCATATAAAAATTCAATTGAAATTTTGGATAACTGGAATGGTGGTTTATTGGGCTCAGGCCCTGATATAATGCTAAAAGGCCGAAGCGGTAAAAGCCCAAAATCTCTTATAATTGAAAATAAAACAAAATCCCTTTAATTATTTTCAATGTTACTCATTTTATAAAAAAAAATCTAAGAATAAAAAAATAAATTATTGAAATTTGAACTTTAAATTTTTTAAATATCATATTTTAAAATAATTGTATGAATTAATCAAATTTATGTTTGGATTGAAGTTAATAAAGGAAAGAAAAGGAAAGAAAAAGAAATGTTTTTTTTTTTAAATGATAGTTTATTTCCTTTTTTGGATAACTAAAATGAATAAAGAAAAGGAAAGAAATGGATTAATCACAACTTTTGTTTGACTAAATTGTGAAAATGAAAAAAAAAAGATATTATATTATTTTTAAAGAATTTTAATCATTTACTTTTCTTCTTGTTTATTAGTAATTAAAAATTGAAATTTTTGAGAAAGGGAGAGGGATGCTGAATTTTATTTCCTTTCTTTCATTAAAATGTAAACTATAAACTTTCTTATTTCCTTTTCTTTTCCTTTCTTTCTATCCAAACATAGCTTTAAATTGTTTGAAATTTTCTTTTTTACTCCACTTGGTACTTTTTAAATTGTAATAATAATTTCCAAATATTAAGGTAAGCTTTGTCATTTGATTTCTTAAAATAAATAAATAAATATATATAAGTGGTAAAGGACGAATATTGATAATGTAGTTAGGTTCGAATTTTTTTATAATTTATAATTGATAGATACTTTATAAATTTAAAAAATTCATAATTAAAAATTTAATGAATCCGTAAAAATCTCAATGAGATCGAAAAACAAAGAGTATAAAAGAATTTAATTAAAATGGTGAAATCCATTTTCATCCAATTTCATTGACAGTGGTTTGCAGTTAAAAGTAGTCCAGCCATTAATAATATTTTTGGCATTTTGGTGGACTTCATTAGCAGTGGACCTAACCCCTTCCAGTGGACGTTACACCACAATAATTTACCTTACATTTTAACTATTCTTAGATTTTGTACCAAATTAAGCAATAATTAAACTCCTTTTTCTTTTTCCATTTTTGGCTAAAAATTTTCAGGTCATTATCATTACAAGTTACCCATGACCCAAATGTATGTGTATTTTTAATAAAAATAAAAATTATAAATAGTAAAATTTAAATGAATTAAATTTCATGATTAATATTTATGAGAACGAAAGAGACAAAAAGGTTTCCATTGTTTCCCTCTCGTTTTTCTCCAATGTACAGACATTTTTGGCTATAAAAGAACCCTTTTGCTATCTCTTTCTTTACTGTGTAATGCAACAAGAAAACTACAAAAAGGAAGCTTCAGCAATGGACGGACGTGAAGAGGAGGAGTTGTTTGAGTTGTCTTTACCTTATTCTCTTCAATTCAAAACATTTTGTAGGCTGACGTCAAGGTACGATCATGACGTGGAGGATGAAGAAGATGAGATTGATAACAGTTTTGTCTTCCAGATTGATCAGAGCTTGTTGATTGATCCTAGTCTTGTTTTGCTTGACAAAATGATTGGTGAAGGTTCCTACTCTACTGTTCACAAAGGATTGTGAGTTCCCTCATATATCTTTTATGTTTTGGTTTTCTTGATCTTGGGTTGATTAGGTTACTCACATTCTTTGCATGTTCTTGGATTTCCATGCTCTGTTAGTTTTTGTGGGATTTTTTGGATTTTCTCTTTTGTTTGATTTCAATTTTGGTTTCATCTGTATGATATTTGAGTTCAGTGTTCTTGTACCGATAAAACCTTGAAGGGGTTTAGGGCGCTTTATCTGGAGTGTGTGAGGGTTGGTTTAAAAGGTGTTAAAGGCTGATATCAGTGCAATTTTGATTAAAAAAAAAAATGGGTTCTTTTAGAAATGGTATATGAATTCATCTATAAGGTGCTACAGATTTGTTGATGCATTGAGCTAATTACTATGTTATGTTCAAGAATAAACATTTATCTGCTTTTTGGGGTTACTTTGAGTTCTTCAATTGCTGAGCCAGTAGACTCATGATTCCTAGTTTTCTGAATTATAAAAGAACTATGAATCTGCTAATTGCTCAGCAAACAACTGATCATATCACAATGGTAGAATGAAGTAGTGATAAGACTGTTTTGCCCGTTATATAGTTGTTTTAGTTGGAGATATGATGATTGGTTTTGAATTTCCACTAAATTTGGATAAGTTATATTACTAGTTTAGCTAGTTGCTGGTTCTTGTTTCTATGTGCATATATGGCATATCAATATCAATTTGTTATGTTGGGTGTGATTTAAATGTTTACATGAAATACAGATGTAAATTTGAGTTTACATCGATGAAGATTTAGTGATGGTAGGAATTATTTAGGCTGTAACTACGTTAGCTGATCGCACCACGTGGAATTTGGACTGCGGCGCTCTTTCTGTTAATAGCATAGTTGACGGTTACAAGATTCGTCATCGATGGATTTGAGATTGATTATTATTGTTTGCTAATTGACAGATCATCCTTGGATTTTTGTCAAATTTCTTAGACAACAGGTTTTATATCAATTTAAAAGTCAGTCATTATTATGTGTTTGTCTTTTCAGTCAAACTTGATAATATGAAGCCATTCTATGCTATCTTATATCTATTATGAATGTCTGTGGTAAATAAATCCTTTGTTGCCCTGTATTTCAGCAGTAACGTATATGGCAAAAGAAGGCTAAAAATATATTGTTCCCCATACAACGCGAACGTTTCTGCTTATGCTTCTGATATTATGTTCTCATGATGCAAATTTGATTGGATGCTTACTCTTTATATGCAGTTGCAGATCTCTTATAAGGCTGTAACCAATGGTATAAAATTTTGATGTTTTTCTGTAACCAAAATGATTTACATTTGCAAACACTGATTACTTGACTTCATTCCAGCTACAAATCGAAACCTGTTGCAGTGAAGATTATTCAGCCAAGTAATCCATCAGCTGTAACTCGTGAGCATAAAAGGAAATTTGAGAGGGAGGTTTTAATGCTGTCTAGGATGGACCATGAAAATGTTGTCAAGGTATTCACTTTTGTTGCTAACATATATAAAACTAAATCTTAGTTACTAATTTTATTTCTTTACCTTCATTCTCTTTCATTTTGAGTCCTGAAATATATAATACCGTGTCACCTTCACCTTTTGTCATGTATAGCCTTCTATGGAAGATGTTCATTTTGCACTCTGATATCGGTGTGAAAGGAAGAAAAAACTGACTCTGTGTACATTATCTTGAAATCTTTCCATATATGATACTAATTATCCTGACTATAAAGTCTGGAAACATTTGTTCATATTGAAAAGATACCTTTAAAGAATTGGTATGAAATCTAAGTTCAGTTGAGTAGAATTTTGTGCATGAGGAGCAACTGCTGGCTTCACCAAGATACAATTTTCCTTGAGCAATATATTTATAGTACAAATTTATTTTTATTTTCGGAGTTTTCAAATCCATCGTACTAATTAAAATGTTTGTTGAACTTTTTATACCATTGAAGTTCCTTGGTACTTACTAGAAATCTGGATAAGACAAATTTCCAGCTGTTTTAACTTACATTATTCTCTCAGAGTTGGCATCCATATCTGCGTCTTGATTAATTACCTTGTCCTTCTAATTCGGTTCGGTTTTGCTGAAGCAGTTTATTGGTGCATCTGTGGAGCCAACTATGATGATAGTTACTGAATTCATGAATGGTGATACACTTCAGAGGTATTTGTGGAACATACGCCCAAGGCGTCTAGAGCTGAAGCATTCAATCAGTCTTGCATTGGATATTTCCCAAGCTATGGAATACTTGCATGCCAATGGCATTATTCATCGTGATCTGAAGCCCAGTAATTCTTTCTCTTTTCATCCCAATATTCTAGTTGCTTCAATTTGTCAAACGGTCAATGATATGCATTTTCATTAATCTCAGTGAATGATATGCATCAAAATTCCTAAGGATTTTAGAAGCTGATACTAAGCTTTTAGACATTGTAGTAATTTAGCTTTCATTGTGATTGACTTCATCGACGCACCAAAACTTCAACAATGAGCACTAGAGAAAATGTTATGGCCGCAGATAATCTGCATCTTAGATACCTTAATCTCATGACAGGCAATATACTTCTCACTGAGGATAAAATGCATGTTAAGCTGGCTGACTTTGGGCTAGCAAGAGAGGAAGTGATGGGTGGAATGACTTGTGAGGCCGGTACTTACCGGTGGATGGCTCCTGAGGTGCTTTTCTTTATTGGTTTATATCCTTTAGGTGCATATCTTCCTATTGTGTCTAACTCTTTCTTTTTCTGAATTAGCTATACAGCAGAGATCCACTTCCTATAGGAGCAAAGAAACACTATGACCACAAAGTAGATGTGTACAGCTTCTCAATTGTTCTTTGGGAGCTGCTGACAAACAAAGCTCCATTTAAGGGAAGGGATAATGTATCAGTGGCATATGCCGCGGCAAAAGTAAAGTCAAATTTCCTTAAAAAATCTTTGGTGATTCAATTCTCATGCCATTACTTTCAACAATTTCTAATGATATCTCTTTTCCTACTTTCAGAATGAAAGGCCTAATGTGGAAGGTCTTCCAAGAGATATTGTATCTCTCTTGCAGTCCTGCTGGACAGAGGACCCGAAGAGCCGACCGGAATTTAAGGAAATCACTGGCTCTCTTGCAAACTTCCTCCAAAACATTTGCCCAACAGAGACTACGTCTACACCTCCAAAGGTAGTGGAAACTGATTATTCCAACAGCCATGTAAAGGAAGATCGTATTGGTGCTGGCCATGTTACAAACAAGTCCAATGACAAAGGAAAGAAACACAAGAGTTCTCCCTCTTTCCTCAGATGCTTTATTGACTGCTTATCAGATTGATCAAGTGGGATGGTGGGTCATGTTTTGAGTAAGATAACTTTACAAAACTGTCAATTAGGGACATCCATGCAAAGATACAAAAATATTAAAGGCAAAGAACAAGGAAGGATGAAAAATAAAGCTTTTATCAACTTGTAGGTCTTTTTTCTATTTAATTTCTTAATCCTTATTTAAATATTGAACATGTCATTTTACTTGGAGGTGAGAAAAAAATGAAGAAAATCGAAAACTGATCTGAAATCGTAATGTTCAATTTGGTACGGATTGATTTTTTTTTATTCGATTCAGACTAAATTCAAATATTAAATATATATTAAGTTTAGATCATAAAATGAAAAATAAAAAAAATTGAACCAAACCAAATTATATATATTTTTAGCTTTTATATATATTTTAAATTTTTATAAAATAAAAATAATAATATTATATCAAAATTTATTTAAATATATTAAAATTTTATATTAAAAAAATATAAAATTAAAAAAAATTAAATTAAAAAATTGGTAAACTAAACCAAATCGCAACAGTAAAATTGGATTCAAATTCAAATCAAAATTTAAAATTTTATAACATTATACAATATTAAAAAATATCAAACCAAATTCGATTCTATATCATTCTTAATTTTCATAAATAAGAATCGGAAGTAGGGCACAACTATCTTTTTTTATTAACCAAAAGCTGTTATTTAAGCTAGTGAGAGTGGCCCAGTAGGCTAGGTCAAGCCAAGAGAAGAGCCCAGTTCTGAATCTTTACTAGCCGGCTTCCATTTCAAGAACATGGTTTTGGGCTTGCGTTAAATCAGCACTAGCCAGGCCCATCAAGAACAACCCAAGTCCAATGATAAAGCAGTAGCAAAGCCTATCAGAATCAGGCCTAGAGCCCATTAGCTCATTTAATGTGGGGATTTGACAGACAAAACAAAAGGATAATATTTTTGTGACGTGGAAGCCACACAATAAAGAACCAAAAAACCAAAAGTCAAAAGCAAAACCCAAAAAGGCGCAAAACGACGTAATTTTGACACAATTTCCTTTTCATAATGAATCATCATCCATTAGGATGCTATGTCATAAACCTAATCCAGTTAAACATTCCCAGCTGTCTTCTTCTTCCTTCGCACGTGTCACCCGCGAAACCCTAACCCCTTTCCTCTCCTCTTTCCTTCCCTTTCCGTTCCTTTCCCTTCCTTCCATCTCTTGAACTCACTAATTGCACGACAACTAAGCTCCCGACCACACCGGCTCAGATGCTTTCCTCGTTTTAAGACAACAACAGCAACGACCAAACGGCGACAATAAAAACAAAAGTTTCTTCACTTAACTTGTCCTTCAAAATTTCGTACGATTTTTTTTTCTGAGCCTTACGGATTTTTCTTTCTATCCTTAATTCTCAGCCCTCTGATAAAGGAAGTAAAAGAAAGAAAAAAAAGCATTATTTATATAAAATTTATATAAAATCCACCTCACTTCCCTCTTCAACGCCATAAAAGCAGGTCTTTCTTTCTTTTGTCTCTCTCTCTTTCTTTTCTTTACCATTTTACTCTGTTTCCTTTGATAATCTACATTCAATTTACCTGATGCTTTAATTTTGATTAGGCAGTTGGATTAGTGCCAATCACTTGTTCTTCTCTGAACTATATTGTTAACTTGTTTTTTTTTTTTTTTTGAACTTTTGCTTATGTTATGACTATGGGGAATCCCTGTCAGTTAAGGTTTTAAGATTGAATTAGCTCTTAATCTTTGGAAAAAAAGTAATTCTTTACCATATGTATTAATAATTAATTATTTAATGTCTTTTTTCTAACATGTATGGGAAGGAGGTCAGGTGGATGGGTTCCAGCTGTCTATTGCTGGTCAACCTTGGGTTTTTACTATAATCTGTAGTGAAGAATAAAGGCGCTAAAACAGATACTGCCAATTTGTAGTGGTTCTTTTTCCCTTCGAATGTTTGGTTAATATAGGAATTGTTGAAAATTGTATTTTTATTAAGGTAATTATTGGAATTGAAGAATTACTTTCTATTTCAAGGTTGTCTGTTTATGGAATGATTGTTGTCTGGTACTCTACTTTGTTTTCCATATCACTAAATCAGATGCTCTCCTCTGACTCCTTCACTTGTTAGGACAAGGATGGATGCTTGGTCTTAGTTTTCAAAAAAAAATAAAAAAAATCATTGGTTTTATTTTGAAAAGAAACGAGTTTATTTCTAAATTTTAACTTCTTTAAATGGTTATTAAGGTATTTTGAAACTGGTGTAGGCTGTATACAATGTTGTAGGATGGTTTTGTCTTTTGCATGATCGTGCGAGTGTAAGTTGATTTCTTGCATATCCTTGGGCTTTCAAGTTGGGAAATGATTTTGTAGTTTATGGCTTTGCTGAGCTGAGTTCAGTTGTATTATCTTTCTCGATTTAATTCGTTCCTTGATTATATGCTGATTCCGAAATTTGTATAGATTTATGTTCCATGAATCATGTTTTGGCTCATAAAATACAAAAACCTTGTGAAGGCTCTGAAGTGATAACATTTTATCTGGTTCTGGATATTCTGAATAGTTGTTAGTGTGACACTGGTAGATAATTTTCTTGTGATATCTCATTTCTGACATATGTAGTTACTTGGTATTGGGTTCTCAGGTGCCTTATAAAAGTTGTTGAGGATATACGAATTTGGTTCTAAATTTGCTGAAATTAAGAGGTTTACCAAAGTGATTATGGGAACAGAAGAGGAGAGCTCATCTGCCAAGCCTTCCAAACCTACTGCCTCAACTCAGGTATATCATCCAGAGGAAAGAAAAAAAAATATGCCCATATCATTCTTGCTCTCTCATCCCTAACATGTAGATAAATTTTACTGATTTTTCTACTTCGTGCTTATAGAAAATACCAACAACACCCTCATATCCTGATTGGTCAAACCCAATGCAGGTTTGTGTTGTGCATAAATCATAGGTTTTGATTTATTTTTCAACTGTTGATCTCATTTATGAAATTCCTAAAAAGTCGTCCCTGTAAGTAATTGTTCGAGCTTACAACTCAGCTTCTTATTTAGGCTTATTATGGTGCTGGAGCTACTGCACCCCCTTTTTTTGCCTCAACTGTTGCTTCTCCAACTCCGCATCCATATATATGGGGAGGCCAGGTGATACCGCCTTTGAAATCACCATTGTAAAACAGTCTGTTTCTTTCAATATCTGATCAATGTTTTTACTTTCCGTTCTGTTCATAATCTTTCAGCATCCTTTAATGCCTCCATATGGCACCCCAGTACCATATCCAGCTATATATCCTCCTGGGGGAGTCTATGCACATCCTAATTTGGCTATGGTAATATTTGTTTTTTTTTTCTTTCTCTCTCTCTCTCTCTCTCTCTCTATATATATATATATATATATTGCAGTTTGTATTGACTTTTGACTGCTCATTACTAATAAAATAAATTCTTGGCACTAACTTTGGCTATTCTATTTTTTCGATAGGCTCCAAGTTCAACACATAATAATGCTTATCATGAGGGGAAGGGTGCTAATGGAAAGGATAAAGTTGCCACCAAAAAATCCAAGGGAACTTCAGGAAGCAAGGTTGGGGAGAGTAGAACAGCAGCTTCAGGCTCTGGAAATGATGTTGGCTCTCAAAGGTGCACTAGCTGTTTGATGTTGTTGTTTCAATGTTTTCTCTGACACAATTCTCACATTCATTCTCAACATTGGGCTTTGGTTAAAAGACTTCATAAACTTCAGTGTACTTCTTCTAATTGTAAATGCTTTCTTAACAGCGGTGAAAGTGGCAGTGAGGGTACATCAGATGGAAGTGATGAGAATAATCAAGAAGTATGTGCCTAATTATCTGATTTTGATTATCATCAAGCGCACTGGCTACTTTAGAAGTTCAGTTCCCCTCATCAACATGGTTTACTGGCTAGCATGTTAATACAACGAATTGCCCTTTTTTTTCTTTAGGAACCTGCTGCTGGTAAAAAGGGAAGCTTTGACCAGATGCTTGCAGATGGTATATTAAGTTTCCCTATCTTCCACTTTTGTTGTAGAATAAATCACAAAAACAAGCTTCAGGTTATTTTGAACACAAAAAGTCTCTTCGTGGTTTCAGACACATTAACTTACTCCCTTGAGATATCATAAATTGGGAGGGGGGGGGGGAGTGTGGTGACTAAATAAGTGCATGAAAACTGAAAAAATGCTCAGGGTTGGTTTCATCTAATTAAAATCGCTCTTTTGACCAGCCAATGCACAGAGTAACACTGCTGGGGCAGTTCAGAGTTTAGTTCCTGAGAAACCTGTAGTCTCAATGCCTGCAACTACTTCAAATATAGGGATGGACCTCTGGAGTGGATCCCCTGCTGGCTCAGGAGCTGCTAAAATGAGACCAAACTCATCTGGTGCTGCAGCCACGGTTGCCCCTGGAGGCGTAATGCCTGACCAGTGGATTCAAGTATGAGCCTTACTTGGCCATTTTTTCCTTTTATTTTACATGTTCATTCATTACTATTTGGTCCATTTGTAAACCAATATTCTGCTCCTGAGTTGTTAAAACCTGCCTTGTCCTTATAGTTTAACTTTATTTGCTGCCCTCTTGCATCCTTTTAAGCAGCTAGAGCATTCCGGGTGTGACTTACTTCTACAATTTCATGTTTTTAACTGGATTGGCGCTGTGGGTTCTTGCAGGATGACCGTGAGTTGAAAAGACAGAAGAGGAAGCAGTCTAATAGGGAGTCTGCTAGAAGATCAAGATTACGCAAGCAGGTAGGCTGGTTTACATGTGTTCCCCAAGGAATTATTCTAGAACTTATTTCCATAGTATATGAAGTATTTTACAGCTTTGTTTTGAAGCTCAAGATCTGTAGCTTGTTTTTGTGTTTCCTAGGTGGAGTGTGAAGAGCTACAAGCCAGGGTGCAGAGCTTGGTGAATGAAAACCACGACCTTAGAGAGGAACTAAAGAAGCTTTCTGATGAATGTGAGAAGCTTACATCAGAAAATAGTTCTATTAAGGTATAGAACAGCTGCGCCCTTTCACTCGCGCCTTTACCTGAGATCATCTGTCTTTTTACCTTGTGTCCGCTTCCTTGCTACTATTATTTACTTGATGAAGGAAGAGTGGAACCTTGCTGATCATTAAACACTAGTACCACTATCGCATATCATGTATTAAATGTGTTGCAATCACTTCTTGTGCATATTTTTGAACGTGTTATCAACAAATATGGTTTGCTGCTTCTATAACAGGAAGAGTTGACCCGGATCTGTGGACCTGATGCGGTAACCAACCTCGAGCAAGACAACCCCCCTTCGATTCTTCAATCTGGAGGTGGTGAGGGTAACAGTTAATAAAACCTACAGAGACAACTTGCGTTCAGTAACATCTTGTTATCCGCAATATTCTTTTTACCATGGCTTTACTTTAGTTGAGCAATAGGGGCATTTGTTTTCCTTGCTAATCTTATACCCTTAACCCTTTATAACCATAATGTTTATTCTACAAAAGAAAAGGTTTTAACCTGAGTTCAAATTATTGTGTTGGTGTAGTTGATTGGGACAAAACAATAATCGGAGATTGATTCATCCACTATTCTGATTTTGATCACATTTGAATGTAGTGTTCTTTATTATTTTTATGCAAAAGAAGTTGTAGATTGAAGATAGAAAAAAAATTATAGGTGTTGAGATTCAAACTTAAATTTACTATACGAAGATGATGGTAATCAATTTGGTTAAATCTCATGCGCAGGTTCAAGGACCTAGTGGTTTTATTTAAAATACAAGAAACTGTCTCTGTCGCTAAAAATGTTTGGAGCAAAGTGTTGTTTGGAGACTCGTATTATATGTCCTGGATAAGAAGAAACTAGACCACCTAAAGCTAAAGGCACAGCAGCTCTTTCAGAAATACTGCACCAAATGATAAAAAGAAATTAAAAAAAAAAAAGGATTAAAAATAAAACATCAAAGGTTCCAAACGCGGTAAAAGATTAAATTGGAACGGGATAGATACATTTTACATCCCCGATCAAGCCTCTACTACTAATCCTGTATACAGCTAGGCTAAGCCTTAACACCTCCAAGCTGACGTGGCAACCAAGGATCTGTCGTGCCAGCAAAGCGCTAACTCGGCTTGTCTTTTCGCCACGTGGAATCCCCTAACCGGCAGCTTCGCTAACAAACTCTCAGCTTGAAAATAAGCAAACTGACTCAAATGCACCGCCCTCATTCCCGCCCTACAAAACACCTCCCTCCATGGCGGAGCAGTCCTCCTCCACGCAGCTTCCACCACAGCCAAAATCCTCGGCCGCAACAACAACGTCTCTATCTTCTTCACCCATTCCCCACCGACGACCGCCGCATCCAATGACTCGAAAATCATGGCGTAGAACTCCAACCCGTTCACGAAATTCTTCCGGAACGACGTCGTCCTTGACTCCATCCACACCTCACTATCTACAAATACGACGACGCTCGGATTAACCCTCCGAAAGTCACTTAAAAACGCCGTGACGTTTAAATTGAGACATCGGAAAATAGACTGACATAAAAGGATTGCCGTTTGTTCCCCATTAATGAACTTAAAAGCTTTAAAAGACAACATTTCAAAGGTCCGAAGGAGAACAAACTCAATCTGGAACCTTAATTTAAGGTCTTGAGCGAACTGGAAAAGGTTGTCTTTGATAAGCCTTGTTTGAATGGCATATTCTTCGGGAACCACAGCAGTTATTCGAATGAACTTGCAAGAATGATCATTGTTTTCAGCCATTTCTCTCATTAAAGAAGCGTATTGACCTCCCAGCCCGATATCAAAATCGATGATGTGTATCAACGGTGCTGGTCCATCCAGTGCTTCGAGGATAGCTTGATTGGTGGTAAAGTGGTTGAACATGGGAATAGGGTTGATTCCAGAGAAGGTCTTGTAGGCTTTGATGGTTTGAACGATTTCACTCCATGAAGATAAACGAGTCGACCCAGTTGACCCAGTAAGTAGAGACTGGAGAGCTTCTTTGAAGTAAAAAGCGGCCCTTTGTAACGGTTTGCCCGAAGGAGATTGTAGCCGCTGATTGAGCCGCGCCAATATTACCTGCGCGAGTTGCAATTGGTTGGTGTCGAAACAACCCGCGGCTCTTATCAGCTCTTCTATAAAATCAAAGCCTAAGTTGAAGTTGCCAACGTTATGAAAATTACAACTATTAGAAATATTATCAAGGTAATTATTAGTAGCAGTATTAAAATTTTGATGAGATGGGTCTTGATTTAGACCAGAATAAAAATCGTAAAGATTGTTAAAATCAGGATGGACCGAGTGATGATTCAAATCGCAAGACATGAACTCAGGGAGGCTTTGGATATGATTCTCGCAAGGAGTAATAGCTTGAGGATTATTAGTTTTGATAGCAAGCATAGATTCGTCGTCCAATCCGGAGTCCTTCATGATAGAATCCCAATCCATGTTTCGCAACACATGCTCGTCCCACTCAAGAGAATGATGATGATGATGATGATGAGGATGAGGATTCGACACTGAGACGCAATAAGAAACATCGGCAGGACTTGAAGCTGGCTTTTCGTGCACCGGACTTGAACTTCGAGGAAGATCAAGAAAGGAAGTTGGCTCATGGCACGAGGTTGGAACACTGTTAAGCCCGTGGAAACTGATGTTCCTGCTTGAAACAACACTGTTGTTATTGCTGTTATTGTTGTTAGGTTTTGGGGTCGGAGAAGGGTTGTTTTGTGGGGAGGTAACGGGGACTCTCATATCTTTCAGAACAACAAAAGGAAAAAGCGCTCTTTCGTTGAGTTTATTTGCTGTTTTAGGTTTCTTTTTTTGCTTTGGATTAATATTGTTTTAGGGTTTGAAAGTAGGAGAAGAAGAGAGAAGGGGGGCTTTTATTTTTGCATGGAGACGAAGGGGTAAGGATATGGGCAATGGGCATTTGTTTTTTTACGATAAATCCAAGGTAAGTAAATCGTTTAGTCTTAGGCGTTAAGATAAAATATATTATATTTAATAATAAAAGATAAATAATCTCATTAAATTTAAACTCAAACTCAAATCAAAATCTTTAAATGGAGAAATATGATTCTTGACAATTGAGACAACCAGTTGATGATGGCAATGGGCATTGATGATATTCGAAGAGGATGACACATACACATGCTCGACATTAGTCAGACCCGTCTTTTATCAAACTTTGAAGCTTCAAACTCAAGCCTTAGCTTTCTTAATTTGTTTTGCTTTTCATAGGAATATTCTCACCCTTCATTTTTGTTTCTTTAAATTCCAATAAAAATTTAAACGTCAAGATAAAATAGGTGATATTGCCACACAGTTACATGATTTGATAATAGAATATTAAAATTTTAAATATTAAAAAAAGTGATAGCAATTATTGATTTATATATTATTAATAAATTTAATCAATTAAAATTTTTAATTTTTTATTATAAATTATATTATCTCTCGTTTTTTCAAATTAAGAATTGAATTTGAATGATTTAACGTACATAGATGTGATCAATGAAAAATCCATGGAAAAAGGAACTCACCCCATAAAAACAAACCCTAATCTAAATTTATTTTTTGAAGGAACCCTAATCTAAGATTTTTTAATTATTGTTTAAATAGACATGCGACCAAACCTGCTCGCCCATGAGAAAAAGAGAATGGTTGGAACTCTAATATGTCCAAAGAGAAATTGAATTAATTACTTTTAAATTAAGTTATTATAATAATCAAATGTTGTCTAAGGTTGGTCAAAGTGAATTTTAAAATTATCAAACTCTGAAATATAACAAAGATAAACAAATGCAATATGTTGTTTTGTATTATCTTTCTCCAAGTATTATATTATTATATTTTTTAATTTATAATTTGTTAAATTTAATTATTCGGTCAATTCGATCAAAATTTGATCAATACAATCAAATTCTTTAGTTGCCTAGATATTACACACATGAATCGCTTTATTTTTTGTATTTGAAAAAACTCAAGTATGTAAGATAATTTATATACTTTACATTTAAGCTTCTCTTACTCTAACATTTTTTACACATATTTTTATTTTTTTTTCTTATTTTTTTAAAATTTTATTGATTTAAGAATCGAAACGTATTTTTGAAAAGCAACTTAAGCATCCTTAATTAAGTTTTCTAACTGTAGATTCAGGCTATACGCCTCCAACAACCTTGCACCAATTCCTTCTTAAGACACAAAAATTCCATTAATAGAATTAAATAAAAAAATCAATTTGGACGGTGACAAATGATATTTCATTTAAATGATCAATAAGATTTACTTTTAAAATAAAATAATGATGCAATAAAATTTTTTTTTTTTTTTTTATTTACAAGATTTGAGAATAAAAAAAAGGAATGGCTTGATTCGAGCCAAATTTTCATGCTTTCTGTAAAACCCTTTTGTCATTGGACCAAAAAGTTTAGGTGCCTTAAAGCTCAATAATTTTCATTTTCTTTGACCCTACCTCGATTAGGACCCCAAAAAAGTTCCAAATAGTGAGCCGAAGACGAGCACCACCACACCCGCTATAGTCACATCACCTTAGAAAATGGCCATTATCATATTCATAAAGTAGTGTTGAGACGTGAGAGGCTACTTTATTAAACTCTCCCCTCCATGATTGATTTGCCAATGTATCTTGTAATTCTTTTTTTTTTTTTGTTAAATGTATCTTCTAATTGTAATTAAAATAAAAATTAATAACACAAATAAATTTTTAAATTATAATAAACTATTTAATATAATATTTAAAAAAATACAAACCCTTAAAAAGAAAAACGTATATCTCGGTAAATGACAAAAATAGTCACATTGTGCTAACAACGTAGGAATGGCCAATGAGTATATATTATTTTTTAGATATTTGTATTTGAATTGATTTAATATTTAAATTTAAATTTGTTTAGATAAATATTATCCATATCAATATATAAATTTATTAAAATATTTATTTATTAAAATTTTTTGTCAATAATAAAATAAATAAAAATTTAATTTAAAATTTAAGTTTACTCTTAATTAATAATAAATAAAAATTATTAGTTAAAAGTTTGAAACAGTTTATAAATATAAAATTTTATATATTATTGCATATTTAAATCGATAATAAATTTGAATATTAATTACTGTTTATTAAATTTTAAATAAATTTAAATATTAAATATTAAAAAAATTTATCTGTATCTGTCATAAATAATAAAATTTAAATTTAAATTCATTATAAATAATACATTTTTTATTAAAATTCATTAATTATACATATATAATTTTTTAAATCTAACATAAATAAATTAAATAATAATAAATATTTGTATATTATCTATTCATTGGCATCTTGTAACAGCCACAGCGTCAGTCCCATCGCCCATCGTCCCCAGTTCAAAAATTTCACAAAAGTTCATGAAATTCTTGTTGACAAGCCAAGTGACGACCTCGCTTCAATTGGGACCCACAAATGCGACATGAGCAGTGACGTGATTGGCCAGTAGGGGTCGTGTCCCATGGCAATATGTCCCCACCAGAAGGTTTTTTGTCGGATATGCATGGATGTTCCAAAGACCAAGGAATCCAGACACCTTAATATAGTACTGCTGTGTAAGAGCGCGTAGAAACCACGCTCAGGTAGGACAGCGTTGGCTTTCGACGGAGAGAATGAGAGAAAGAACGATGGGAATATGTCCGGATTGATGACAGTGCAATGCAAAAATAAATTGTGTTAAAATACAATGCAAAAATAAAACCCAAGATGATTTCATTAGCATCTGAATTCTTAAAAGAGCCAATAATTGTTCAACATCTCAAGCTGATCAAAACTTCATCATAGGAAAAAGAAAATTCTCACAAACACAAGATTTAAATTGCAACTTGCAAAGAATACAATATGGTAGTGAGTCAAAATACTTTGATATTAAGATTCAAAATCACACGGGGCATACGCGGTAGGGGGGAGGGAAAGAAAAGGGAGGCTTGAAGCCCACAAAAGATGGAAGATGTTGATATTCTGATTTGTATCATTCATATAAAGAAAAAGACAAGGGGGCCGGGGGGGGGGGGGGTGTTGGGCAACAATGGAAGGTGATTTTGGGATGGTGGGGCGGATCTTCTATCTTCTATTCAACAAGTAACCTTACATCTCCTTTTCCAATGTGGAGGATCCTTAAGGATATGTTGATTTTGCTTTGGAAAAAAAGAAAAAAACCCTTTTGATTCAATTAGTTTTCCCATTTTTTTCCAATCTCACATATAAAACTATATAGTTGTGATTCCTCCACATTTTATATGTAGCATCCTAGTCTTTGTGCCATTTGGTTTGTGGTCTATGGTCAAAGGGCTTAAAGTATAGTTGCTAATTTTGTTTTGGTATTGATCGTTGATTTACTTCAGTTATATTAAAATACAATATATTTAAAAATAATTTTTTATATCAAATTTGATATTAAATAATATCGATTGTTTTCGTTAATTTTAACTTATTTTGATGAATTTTAATGAAATAATATGTTTCCATCAGTATGTAAATATAAAATATATTTATAATTTTTAACTTATTTTTTGTTATTTAACTACTTTTAACCTAATAAAATAAAATTAATTGACTAAATAACCCTTAAAAATTGAATTTTTTCAATTTTTATTTTAACTTATTTTTTTTTATACATTATTTTTTCAAACCAAAATTTATAAATATTTTAATTTTTTCAAAAATACAATTATAATTTTTCTATAAAATTTAACGATCGTAAAATTTTAACTAATTTTTTTATCTCTTTGTTTTTATTGTAATATTTATATAAAAAATATTTATTTAAATATCATATGATTAGATTAAATGTTTAAAAACATCATAAAAAATTTATACTATTATTTTTATATTTTTGAATTTATTTATTTGATTTGAATATATTACATATTTATTTTGTAACTTATTAATGATATTATAATGTACAAGTTCATGTATATTTATAAATATATTTATACTAAATCAAAAAATCCAAAATAATATACCGAAATAACTGATACAGATACAGATATATATCATAGTTTTTTAAAAAATCGAAACATTACCTGACACAATGTTACCAACCTTGGCTTAGAGCCTTAAAGGTGTTTGGTAAAATATTTTTTTCTGCTCAACTTGAGTTGATGAAAAAACGAACTCTGATAGGCCACTTGACCCAGAATTTCTCAGATCCTAGCTCTGTCCAACAGTTGGAAAAACTTCACCAAGCTCTGCATTTCTTGGTTTATTCAGACTTCCCAGCCATTGTTAGGCTTGTCATATGCTATATCCTGTTTTTCACCTTTCAGCACCTACTGCTCTCAGAAGAATGAGCTCATGGGTTTCTTTTTTTCTTCCTGATGAGCAAAATAAAATCTATGAAAGTTGTCAAAGCAGGGAATAAGTTATTTGAACTAATGAAGCAATGAATATTTCTTTCACTAGGTTTGATGGCCAAAAACTGAACTAATGAGCTTTCCAATCCGACAAGCCACCATAAAAATTACTCTTAACCTGTACAAGGTTGATAGATTCACCAACTTGGAAAAAGAAAGGCTCACATATTGGAGGAGCTAGTAATATAAGACACAACAACAGTGATGTCGTCAAGCTTGCCGCCATTATAGCTAAACCCAGCATGTTGAGCAGCTTTGGCAAATGGTGTCTGACGCTTCTTATTCACTGCTCGTTTACAAGCCAAAGCTGCTATCTGCTTAGCCGTCAATTTGGGACTGAAGCCAGCTCTTAATGCCTGAACAACAACAGCAGTAACTTCATTTTTGTACAAGTTATCAAACAAGCCATCTGTTCCAGCGACAACGACATCACCTGGCAGAACAGGAATTCTGAAAACCTGGGCATATTATTCCAAAATGATAGTTAAGGTTAGGGAAATTGAATTGTGATTAGTCAAAACAGTTTTAGGTGCTATCATTTTTATTTAAGGTCATACTGAAGTCTTTCAAATCTTTTACGGAAGAGAATGACCCATTTCATCATCTGATCAAACATGAACTAGATAAAAGAAATGAAAGTAGAAAATTATCTGGCTCCAAAGAGATTCAAAATCTCAAACACAAGAGAGAATATATAAACATGTTTCCTTATTATGAGATGATGGCCTGAGCATCAAACCATTTAAGAAATACAGCCAGATGAGGTGCAATGATCAAATTTTAATAATTAGTTTTATTTAAATACAATGTTAACCTTGAACAAAACAAGCTGCTATAAAGAGCCAAAATGATGCCAGGATTTTATATCCTATTCAAAGATATTTTCTTATGGTCAAAAAAAGAAAGAAAAAACACTATTATCATCCCTTGTATTAGGGTGGGTAATAAATCAACTAACCTGACCAGAGCTTGGTAGGTCACCATTATAACCACTAACCAATTGATAAGGACAATTGAAACCATGCTGCTGCACTGGGGAATGGAAGACAGTGCAACCATCCCTAATTACTATGAAACCGCTGTCCCCCAGATTTACTGCATGTATTCCCTGTTGAGACAAGTAAAGTAGATAAAACAGCATGGCAGATAATCTGCTCGCTAAAATCTTATTGTCCTTTTTAGAAGCTATCCAAAATGCACTTAAAATCAAACTAGATAAAATTTTTAGGGCCGTTACAAATAAGGTCTATTAGAGCATAAAGACATGGAATGAAATGATAGCAGTTAACGCCCCTAAGACAGATCAAGATATAGAAACAGATGAATAACAAGAAGAGAAATCATAAACTACTACTCAAGAACATTTACTGAGCTCCAAGCATAGATGTCTACATAAAAAATTCAGCACCCCAAACACTATAGACCTATTCTAGCCAAAAGAAGAAGAGATATTTGCATAGGTTCATCTGTTCATGCAGTCAAAAAGGCTTCCTCCTAAGTTCACAGAAAATCAATACTGTGGCTAGGACTTCAATTCGCAGAAACATAGGAAGTATGCATTGTAAATTGTACCAAGACTAAAATTAAAAGCTTAAACATTTTTTGGAGAAAACAAATTTTATGATATCCCAAGAAAAGGAATTTCATTTCTTTCTTTCTTTTGTTTGAAGTACAGCATGGATTTTGTGGGTGAAAATACATACAAAGTTCAAATGGTTCACATACAAAATAAATCAACATTACTCTTTTTGGCTGCACTAAACTGTTGAACAATCCACAAGATCAACAAAAGTAAGAATTTACTTTATCCAGCCAAAACCTGTGGTGGAGTTCACCATACCTTTTCAGTTATAAAAACCAATATAAGGTTAATCATGAAGAAGAATGAAAAAGAATTTAAGAAAGCATTCTGTTTCCTCGTTTTGTGGACCTAGCCCTCATCAAGATATGTAAAAGAAAATTCTTCTAATCATCTCTGCTCATGCTTGTTAACAAAAAAATAGACTAGCCTTGGAAAGTGAAAACAAACCTCCTCTTTAAGGGCAATGATGCAGGCTGTTGAGGATCCTTGCGATTTTGTGCCTGAATGGGCCTTCTCTAATACTCTGGCAGGGTCAATTGAACCCTTGGGTTCATCTTGAATTGCTGTCACTGAATTAGACATAAGTTCACGAGCAAATTCTCCAGCATTAATGCCAACATCTGCCCAGCCACCAACACCATCAGCTACACCTATGGCTTGTTCATTGGCACAAATGAAGTGAGCATCCTCTCCCCCTTTTTCTTTCTTAGCAGGATGCGGGAGATAACATGACCCTGAAACTAGCATCAAGGTTTTCTCACCTGGAACAGCTCTGAAATCAAACACCATGAACCAAATTGTGGAAATTGAGTACAAACAGAGATAGTGTCTTAAAAATGCCAGAGACTAGCCAGTGTCAGAAAAGTTTAAAGCATATTGTACGACATTACTTAAAGATATTTTTAAAAGGAAAAAAAAATGTAAAAAAGGGACAGAGAGTAACATATAAAAATAAATAGAAGATGAGGGGACATACGGTTCAGGTAACCTTGCAGTCTGTTCATCCTTAGAACTGCCATCAAATGACACATCATGAGATGCCCCAGCAGAAGAACATGGCAAAGATGAGGTGTGAATACCTTTTATCCTAGGACCAAAAGAAGGATAATATTTGCGATTTCTCTGCATTGCACCAGAAATATAGTATCCACACAGAAAACAATTGTTGGGTTCTTCTCGCTTTCTCAAAATCATGCTAGCTTTTTGACAACTACTATGACTTCGACCAGCAAAATAAACCCCAGTAGGTTTCAAGAAATCCAAGCTACTCCCACAACTTCCTACTAACTCCACATAAACATCTCCAAAAATAGCCTTGGAACCAGACACAGCCATAGTTTTTGTCCGATTATAAAGCTGGTTTGTAATAAACCTATTATCGGATTTCAAATTACTCAAATAAGGCAAAAACTAAGTCAAACATGAATTCCAAAATAACAATTTGTGGTGTCTAAGCAGTGAACTAGGCAAATTGCACAACCAAACTCGTTTTCCTGTAATTGCCCTTCAAAAACCAGTATATGTAACAGGGTTTAGCTTAGAAAGCACAGCAGCAGGCATCTTTACCCCGTATCTCAAGTTCCCTTAGTTCAATCACTCTCTGAGAGAATGTTGAACCTTGAATTGCATATAAAAGGCTATACATTTACACCTATACAACTTATCAGCAATTTGCTCTAGTTATCCTCCAATGAAGCATATTTCATTAAACACCTGAAAACAGCACACCAAATAGAGGTATATTATACATTTTAAGTTCTTGCTTTTCAAGCGTGTAGCTAAGATGCTTTAATCGAAGCACAAAATTCAACAAAGTAATAGAAAAAATGGGAAATTTTCAAATCACCCAAACTAATTACATAGCTCAAGAATTACTAAAATTCCGTTTAGATACCAAAGCAAATACTTAAGTTTACTAATTCCATTTAAAGTTCAAAACTTTATAGAAAAAGATGAACTTTGCATATTTGTATTGAACACAAAACATAGCTAATTGAAAGAATCTCAATGCTGAGAGATACAATTTCACAAAAACAGAAACTTTCCACAACTATCCAACAAACAGATCGAAATAACAAAGAAATCAAATGCAAAAAAAAAATTTTTAAAAGCGTCAAAATGAACCTGTTCAAAGCGGCTTTCGGCGGTTTATCTGCTGCTGTTTGACAAGAAATCGATAGAGAAAGAAAAAGGAAGACCCGAAAGATTTGGCTCTTTCTGGATTGAAGCTCCGAATATGGCCCGGATCCGATTCGACAGTCCCTGCGGCTTCTTATCTGCCTCTCTCGATCTCTCTCTCTGGCTGTGCAGCGCGGATTGACAAGAGATGACGTTAAAAATTATGGACTGTCATATTGTGACCGAAATGCCCCCTGAATTTTTCCATTTGAGCATCAATTTCTAGGGCGTTTTGGGGATTCGATTTTTTCCAGTTTAAATCTGCAAACGGGTGACAATATCTAGGGTTCTTTTATTTATTTATTTTTATTTTTTAAAGATTTTTGGATTAAATCTGAATCTAGCTTTTTGCATCTGAGCCTGTCGGCCCTTCAATATTGAGAGGATATGAGGCGACTGTCAGCGGTTGGTTGGTGGCCGGAATAATTCGGCACGAATGTACCGTTAGAGAAGTCGCGAGTAGGACATAAATTAACACAGTTTTTCACGAATAATTTGTAAATACATTTTGTTTTTATTTGTTTATAAAGTTTAATAAATAATTTTAAATATTATTTTTATATTTATTTATTAAATAAAAATAAATTTTTATTTGATTTATGTATATTTATAAATAAATTTATTTAAAATTTTTTATTTTATTATTTATTTATAATAATAATAAATTTATATTTTTATTCTACTTTAAAATTAATTTATATTTATTTATATTCGTTTAAATTTTATTTATATAAATTTATTTAGATATAATTTATTTATTATTTATGAATAAATTAATTTAATTTAATACGAATTAAATGTAAATATTTTATTATTTAAAAAATTAAATTTAAACTAATAAAATAAATTTTTTTATCAAACACATATCAAATCCAAATATTATTAAAAATAAATAAATAAATAATAAATATATATTTTCATTCCTTCATATTTTATTTATTTATAATCCCATTGATTTGCCGAAGAGCAAGGAGGTCGGTCCAATTTTTTAGTTTTAGTAGTTTGTGTAGGTAGAGCCAATCTTATAAAATTTGAGAAGTAATTATAAGGATTATTCCAATTTAGAATCTTTCATTTTTCAATTCAAGAATAGAAAACAAATTGTTTTAATCCTATACGGACTTAACCAAAGCCACCCAAAAAGAAAAGTAAGAAAGAGATTACCCCCAAAAATAGAGTACTAAAATCCTTATCCATTCTCAGTCTATTATATCTTCTTTGAATGTCTGTCTTTGACCCGCATGGTGGATATGGGCCATGTGGCTCAGCTAGGATATACTCTTACAAATTGTACAAAACGATTCCATCTTGAAGTTATCCTTTTTACCTGTAGAAATCCAACTGGGAAGCTTCGAAATTTGAAACCCATTAATGGTTAATAATGTTGCTCATTGTCTCGTTAAATTGGATTTTAACGTCAAAAGGGCCTGTCCAATATCATGAAAAAGTCTGTTTTTGACACGACCCCTGAACAGATTTTGTGTTTATTGCTTTTGAAAGCTAACATCTTGTCTGTCACCGGCCAAAAGCCAAAAGCCAAAAGCCAAGAGACTAGATACATAGAACCAGAGACAGACCAGCACAGATTTACAGACAAGAAATTTGTTAACAGAGTGGAATGTGAGGAGGTTGAGGTGGCAAAGTTTGCATTTGACCTTTTCCATTCTTCATTAAGAAAGCCATAGACAGTCCACATGTAGTGTGCATTTGAACCACATTCCTGAAATCAAATTTGCCCATTTTCAGATACATAATCTAGATGATAATACAATGAATGAAATTTTGATGGTCTAGCTTAGCAAAGTCACCTGGATTATCAGCTCTGAATCGAATGACTGCCCATCCACCTACTGGCACACCTACAGTGTGCCTGTAGGGAGGATCGATTAAGTCAAGAATTGCAGTGCTGGAGTTAAAGTTGCCGAGCCCCGTGCCTAATAAGTAGAAGCTAAAGTCATGAAGGTGTGTATCATCACAATGTTATTGGGAGCCTCATTCACTAAATCATACATCTTTCGCGTTTATCAGGGAAATTTGTACCGTGATATCCTTCCAAATTATTGCAGCAAGCATTCAAAAGAGACACCATTTGTCTTCTAAACGTTATATTGTTAACAGAAGCAGCAAAGATTCCCCCATTAGGCCTCTGGCATCTATCAGGATCAGGTGAGTCGCAGCTGAACACATTGAGCACAATTGCTAAAAACAAACTTTTGTCAATTTTCAAAGGAACATGATTAGACTTTTGACCTTATCTGCGAATGCTTGAACAGATTCAGTGTCATGGGTTCAGGAGCTATCAATCGACCTTTTGGAAGAAGACTTTCGAGCTAATTTGTCTACTTCACTGTGGGTGGTGCATTTGAGTTTGTGTGTTTAACATAAATGAGTATTGCATAAGATGTTTATTCAAGAAGGGAGCGTTTTTTACAGGCATGTAAGGGGCCATGGCCAAGTTAGTAGTTTCCTATGGGCTGGTCAGCATCAGAAATGAGGTGTCGAAGGGTTTTGTGTACTCTCCGTCCATTTCTACAACAGTCATAGCATGGTTAGCCACCCCGAAAAAGTTTTCCATGTTAAGAGTAGCATTGATGATTCTGAGAAGATACTTTTTCCCCTTTGTAACATTAATAGCGTGTACACCTGCACAAAATTAAATGAAAGGAACCCCAACTTCAATATTTAACAGCAAGGAAATCAAGATATACATGTTTGTTCAGTGAATTAAAGGCGATAGCATCTCTAGAGCTGTTATGGTGGGGGACCAGAATGACCATTCAAAATGTAGGCATTTGAGCCTGGAGGATCTCCTCCTGAATCTTTCACGTCTTTTAAAGTCATGGATGTCTCGAAGCCAATACTCTCCTGTCAAAACAGCACGCCTACAAAAGCATCGCAAATTTCTGATACAAATTGATATATATATCCTTGCAGACCAAGGAAACTTGGAGAATAAGAAATAAGCCAAGAAGAAGAAATTAAATATCTAGTACAATCACATGCTCTTCAACGGAAGGCTCAAACGGATAGCCAACAACTTGCTTAGGGTAGATAATGAGGAGACCATGAACTGTTGCTCTTAGCAATGATATGTGATGTAAGCATGCCAGAAGAGTGTGCCTCGCTGGCGGATTGATAGCAAGGTAAAGCCTGTATTTGAAACTCTGCCCTGCCTCGATTGGACACTGTGTTATAGGCAGGGCCATCAAACCAGCAAGTTAGCCATTGGCGAACTCCATGCCTTTAATCAGAAACCATATCAACGTATGTCAATGCTATGCTTGGTAGCAATATACGGTGTGGTAGAGGGAATAAATCAAAGAAATTTACTGACTAATAGGGAAGTGACATTACCAGGCGATCTAATCCAGGAAATAACATAACCCCATAAAAGAAAGCAAAAATTTCAACCACAACTTTTTACTTTCCAAATAGTTACAGAGAATTTTTAATTCGAAAAGCAGAATCAAAATTGATACCGAGCAAGATGCACTTAATAAAGGACAGGGCCCCGCTAAATCGATAAGTCGACAATTAGAGATTAATTCTGTCTAGCAGCTGCAAAAGGCGCAGCATCAATGCCTCATTTACCCATGAGTGCTCAGCTTTTTCCCCCGTCAATGTTTAATATGTTTGCTATTAACAAAGGATTGCGTTAAGCTTCACCTTAAAGTCATAATATCTTGTAACACTCCCTTTAGGCCACGCTTCAAGAAAACCTCCATTATTGGAGAAGAAAAGAAGAAACAAGAAAAACCAGCAGCAACTTTTTTCCATCTTATACTTGGATTCTTGAAATTTTCAGTGATTTGGCACCTGAATGGAAACCTGAAGAGTTAACCTAATCAAGCGTCTCTTCTAAAACTTGACATATGCTTATGGCAAAGTTTTCACCTCCAAATGAATTTGTAAAAATTTTATATATTTTTAATAAATTAAATAATATCTCGAACCCTAGTTATAGCTAAAAAAAAAAGATACAGGTTGCTGATTCTATCAAAAGGACATGAAATCAGAAGTATTTGCCTGATTGAAACTGTAACAAGACTGTAAAATAACATAATTTGAAAGAAAGTGTACTGCAATTTGACGGTTGTCATAACAGTTTTGAAACCGTCATACGTAAAAAATTTTAAAATCGAGAGAAATAAAAGAGAAGTCACCATCAATTTTTTTTAAGATGTGATTGGTCACTTAAAAATTTATCTTTTTAATAAAATTATAAAAAGGAGTTTTAAGTTTATCAAAAAGATAAATTTTAGTCTAAAAAAATCAGGTTAAGCTCGGAGTCGATTACGTGTGGGGAAGGATTAGCACCCCCACAACGCCCATAAATTGGTACCATTTAATTATATCATATTTTCGATGTTAGATAAAAATGATTTCAATTTAAAATTTAACATTAATTCTCTTTATTTGAAAAAATAAAATTTTGTTAAAGCTCTTTATTTAAGAATATTGAGAAAATCTTAAAGTTAAAGAATTATTTTAAAATTTTCCAACATTTAGGTAGAATTTAAAATAACTCTTTTCGCTTAAGATTTAATACAATAATCTTTAAAATGAAATAACAGTCTTTATAAAAGATAATTGTTAGTGACTTTTCAACATCTAGGTAGAGTACCAAGAATTATTTCTTTTGAAATGTTATTTTTATTTTATTTTATAATATCATAATTTTTTTAAAAAGTATTATTCTTTTTTTTATTATAAAATATTTTATCATCAAATAGTAAATAAAAATTAAAGAGAGAATAATACAGATAATTATCGATGATAACACGCTAACGTATGTATGCTAATGAATGTCATGTAAAATGAAATGCAATTTAAAAGTTAGATTCTTAAGTATAATGAGACAACCCCGGCTCTCCAACATCTAGAAAGAGCTTAGGTGCGACTGTTTATATTTAAGATCTCAATTTACAATTATACTTTTTATTTATTAATCTTATTATTAATACGAATTAAGAATTCGTGTAAAAAACTTAACGAAATAAAGTTTCCTAAATACCCCATCTTCTAGGCGACATTCGAAAATAGATTACTTCAAATGAGATTTTCACACGTGTCATTAAGATTTTCAGAATGTTTTGAGTAAGGACTTGAGTAGAGGTTTTAAAGGTTAGGGTTTCAAGATTTTGAAGATTCAAATTTTAGGGTTTTGGATTTAAGGGTTTGGATTTTTGGGGTTTCGGATTTTAGGAGGTTTGGATTTAAAGGATTTTAGATTTTAGGGGTTTTGGATTTTAGAATTAGTGTTTAAGGTTTCGTTTTTAAGAAAACGCGAACATCTCTAAAAATTCTCAACATCTAGGCAAATTTTCAAAACAAGTTCGATTTTAGTAATTTTTGAAACTTAATAAAAAATTTCTTATATTTTTTTTTAATGAAAATTTATTAATAATAATTCTTCAACATTTAGGCAGAATTATTTTTACAAATATGTTTTATTCCCTCCAACATCTAAGCAGAAAAAATAAGGAAATTTATTTTTTTATTATTGTTATTATTATTATTATTTTAAGCATTTTTAATATATATTTATTTATTATCTTACTTGTTTTCATTTTTATTATTATTAAAATAATTAAAAATTTATCCTAACAAATTTAAGAACTTATCATACATAAATATAAAAAAAATACTTAAAATAACACAAATAATAATATATAAAAAAATTAAAAAAATTTTTTTATCTGAATCGGACCGGTCAACGGTCCAGTCAACTACGGTTCGGTTTGATCGAAAAGGGATCGGTTCAGCTCGCAGTTCGGTTGAGCCGATTGAGGAATGGTTCAGACCGATCTAGGGAGTGGTTCGATCCGGTCAGGTCAAATTGGTCAAGAGTTGCTGAGGAACCAGGTTGACGAGTCGATTGAGCGGACCTCGAGTTGGGTCCGGGTCCATGCGCTGATCCTCCCTTGCTTACAACGACATCGTTTTGAGCTTTGCTATTCTATATATAACTAAAGTTTTTTTTTGTTTATTCTTCTCTGTTTAAAAAAAAAAAAGAGAGAGAGCTCTGGGGGAGAGTGCCGGGGCTCTCACCGTCCTGTCACCAGACCATTGCGCAGGCCACTGCCTGGGTCACCGTCGACGGTGGTCGTCGGTGATCGAAAATTTTCAAAATTGACCAGGAGGTTTCGTTCAACCTCCTAAGCTTAGATCTGGTACCTCTTTCATCGAAAACAACCTCGATTCTCGTAGATCAAGTTTTGAAGTTTTTGACTCCTTTTTTTTTTTCTTAAAGACTCAAACTAATGATCTTTTTTTTTGTTATAGGTATCTCATTAACGCTGGGTTTCTTACTGACTCGATGAGGACTGTGGTTTTTATTTTTGTATTTATTTTTGTTGATTTTTTTTTACTTTCTGTTTTGGCATGGGGTTTCTGGTTTGGTTTGTGTTTTTTAGCTTCTGTTTAAGAGATTTTTTTTTTTTGTTTTTTGTTCCAAAGAGCCTTAAGAGGAAGAGGTTGGGGGTTTTAAAGAGCTAAAAAAGGGGGGACAGATAATGGTTGTAAGAACTGGTAGGGTGGCTGTAGGGTATGGTGAAAGAACAGGGGTGGGTGGCCAGTGGTGCCATGCAAAGCACCACTGCCATCCCAGTTTTCTTTTTTCTGTATTTTATATCTTTTTTTAGTATTTTATATTTTATATAATTTTTTAAATAATTTTTAATTTTAATTAAACTAATATTATTATTATTAATAAATAAGAATTGAAAATAGTAGACCCAGACAAAATTGGTGTCTACAGCTGTCCTTCTTTGCACATTACTGAGAATCAGAAATAGGACAAAGATAAAGACAACGATTTTATCCGGAAGCAAATCATAAAATTTTTTTTAACCACAAGTCAAGTGATAAAGAAAACGATCAAGACGACACCGCAAGTTGAGAAGTAAAAAAATGATCAGGACAACACCGTGAGTCGAGAAATAAAGAATCGACTAGGATAACATCGTAAGTCAAGAAATTATGCTCGGAGGTCTTACAAAAATCATATCCAAAGGTCTTATAGAATCGATTGGGACAACACTGCAAGTCGAGCATAATGAATCGATCGAGATAACACCGTGAATCAAAATTATGTCAGCAGGTCTTAGAAATTATGCTCGAAGATCTTACAGAATCGACTAGGATAATACCGTAAGTTGAAATTAAAGAATCGATCGGGATAACACCGCGAATCGAAATCATGCCCGGAGGTTTTACAAATATCAAAATCTTTGAATGCTCCTCTTAATTAAAGGTAATGAAACATTGAAAACTTGAAAATATTTTTAAATATGACTTTCGCCTAATCAGAGATTTTTGAAACTCTAAAGGTCTTATCTGAAAAAGGTTCCTTCTAAATAGAAGCTTTGAAATCTTAATTGAAATTGGCTCCTCTTAAATAAAGGCTTTGAAATTTTGATTAAAACTGTTCCTCTTACACATAGACTTTAAACTTTAAAAATATGCCCCCTCTTTTTTTTTGTCTTTAATACTTACAAGATTGATAAATACAAATGTCTATTCTCATCAAATAATGCTAATGGAAATGTCGATACAAATGTAAATGCCAATACAAGAATGCGATGCTTGATGCAAATACATTTAACTTTTTCATAATGTAAATGATAATGTTCTTTTCATGTATATGCCCCTACAAATACATTTTCTTAAGATGTAGATGCCATAATGCAAATGTAAATTTTTTTTATGGTGTAAATGCACATGTCTTATACAAGTACAAATGTGAATGATGCAAATATGAATGTTTTTCTTGTGATGCAGATGCAAGTGATACAAATGCAAATATCTTTTTTATGATGCACAAACAAGTGATGCAACTATGAATGTCTCTTTTTATTATTATTTTTTATTTGTAAGTCAAATGTTTTTCTCATGGTGTAAGCAAAGCAAATACAAAGACTCTTTTCGACTTTTTTTTTTTAAAAAATCTCTATTCAAATTTTTAATGTTTCATTTTCATGAAAAAGAATGATCTTAGTATTATATACAAAATGCTCGAATAACCTCTAAAATTTTCAAAAATGATTAGAAGATTACGCCATATAAAGTATTTTTATAATCGAATGAAAATTTTAAGACTTCTGAATCTCTTGAAAATTGATGATTACTATTTGAAAGGCTTATGGGTGGGGTAATTGACAATTTAATTTTTTTTCACTGGTGGTATATCTCATGAAAAGCTCGACAAGAGTTGCAAGAATTTCTCTTGGGCTCACAAAAGAGATAAATTTTAAAAATACTTTTCTTGAAAGCTTGATATTTTAATGTGAGTCAAAACTAGCCATTACTTTTCAAACAAGATTTGAAAAGAGAACAAGGCTGGTTTTGTTTTTTTAAAGAAGGTACTGGTATTTCAAAAAGTTTTGTATCGAGACCTTTTATTTGGATAGAATCTTGAAACTCTGAAATTCATTTTTGGGGCCTTAAAAATGACTTTAGCTCTAAACTGTCATTTTGAAGTTTTCACCTTAGAGCTATATTTCTTACTAATGAAGAATTCAACAAGTATATGCAAATTCAAGGATATTGCTCTTCAATCCAAGTGTCCACATTTGATCAAAATGGGCTTTTCAGGGTGCGTAATGTAGGCCGAGGTTAAAGGTTCTGAAAGAATTGATAAATAGGCTCAAAATATATTATTCAGGGTAATTAGGCCAAAGATCCTGAGAAATATTCTTTGACTTTCTTCTTTTGCTTTTTTTTTTGAAACATTTGGCTTTCATTTCAGCAACTTTATTCATCCCCTTTTTTATCCTGAATTCTTATTTTTAAGGTACATATTTTTTTTTTTTGAATTCTAATTGAAGCTTTAGATTCTTATCTCTACAGTTTCTTTGTTTTGCCTTAGAAAGGCCTAACTTCATCTTTGGCTATTCATTTTCCTGAATCTTGAGTTTTCAATTGAAGTTTTGTTCACTTTTTGTCTCAGACTTTCACCTTCGAGGGGCAGGTTAGACGTTTTCAATATCGGATACTTTTCTTGAAGTTAATCTTGAATGTATCCTAATTTTGCCTCCTAATATAAAAAATGATCCTTGGTTAGGGTTTATTTTGAAATAAAAAATTTAATAGGCTCAAATGGATAGCAAATGGATAATTTTTATGTACGAGAAGGATAGAAAATGATGGCCATTCATCATTTCAAACATGATCACTTGACTAGAGGAGCAAATCATTAAAGATGTCTCTTTTATTTTTTATTTATTTTTTACTTTATTTGTTTGTTTTTTTTTTTTTGTTGTGATGCCTCATCTTTTTTTTTTTTACTCAAGGTTCTAATGACGATCGAGTCGTATATGATTAATCGCATAGTTCAAAAGGTTTTTTGGGCTCTAAAATATTTTTGGCATTTTTTGGTGAAAAGAAGAGAAAATGTATGAAGGTATAAATCGTCTTAGGCAAAAAGGGATTCTTTTTCTTTTTCTCAATGTGCCTTAAGACATGGAATAAAGGTTATTTAAGAGAGAGAAAAAAAATTTAAGTATTTTTGTGTCTATGATCATGGTAAAATTTTGACACACATTAAATTACCAATTAAAATTTTGAAAAGAGTATCTGATTTTTGAAATTCAAAATAAATTTTTAAAATTAATCTCTTTTGGTCTTTGCCCAATAAGAGATTATCGACCCTTTAAAGTATGAACTCAAAGTCACATTCTTTGAAAGGCTATGATTGATGAGTCCAATAATTTGAGTGATTAGGGGCATGAAAGTATTTAAAAGAGTATTTGAAAATTACCAATCATTAAACTACCAATTGAAAATTTGAAAGAGTATCTGATTTTTGAAATTCAAAGTAAATTTTTAAAATTAATCTCTTTTGTTCTTTGCCCAAGAAGAGATTATCGATCCTTTAATGTATGAACTCAAACTCACATTCTTTAAAAGACTATGATTGATGAGTTCAATCATTTGAATGATTAGTCTAAAATTTTGACACACATTAAATTACCAATTGAAATTTTGAAAGAGTATCTGATTTTTGAAATTCAAAATAA